ACTCTGTGTGTGTGTGTGGCTCTCCTCCCCTCTCCTCCTCCTCCTCCCCCTCCCCCTCCCTCTCAACTCCCCCACCACATCCCCCACACTCAGGCTTCTGAGCGACAGTACTGGGATATCCGCTACAGTTACGCAGGTGATCCAGGACCTTGGGGGAACATCACCTGGGTACTAGTGGCGTCACCCTTACGGAAGACGGAGAATACCAGTGTCAAGTTGGGGTTCTACTGATACCACACCCCTATCTGGGCGGCTGCTAATGTTACCGTCTTGTGTGAGTAGTGTGTTTGGTCTAGGGGGTAGGGAAGGAGAGGGGGAAGGGGGTAGGGGAGGGAGGGGGAAGGGGGGGTAGGGGGAGGAGAGGGGGGGTAGGGGGAGGGAAGGAGAGGGAGGTGGGTGTTTGTGTATGTGTGTGTGTGTGTGTGTGTGTGTGTGTTTTCATGTACAAAATATACACTCATTTATATACCTATGTCGTATGAGTTTATTGATTAATATAAACATTTATCACAAATATCTGCATCAACGTCATAATAATCATCACTTAAAACCAACCGAACTTTAATTTAATCTATGAACCTTAAATATGAACCACCGAACCCCAACTAACGAACCACCGAACCCCAACTAACGAACCACCGAACCCTAACTAACGAACCACCGAACCCCAAACTCTCCCTTCCTTTTCTCCCTTCAGTGGCGCCGTCAGCAGTGGGTATTATGGGATGGGGTGACGGGGCGGTGGTGGAAGTGGTAGAAGGCACGACATTGACCCTGGAGTGTGTGGTGACTGATGGCCGCCCTCCTCCACAAGCTGCTTGGTACAGGGCCGGCCTACAGGTGGATCCAGGTGAGTACAGGTGGATTTTAGGTGATTACAGGTGGATTTTAGGTGATTACAGGTGGATTTTAGGTGATTACAGGTGGATTTTAGGTGAGTACAGGTGGATCCAGGTGAGTACAGGTGGATATAGGTGATTACAGGTGGATTTTAGGTGATTACAGGTGGATTTATGGTGATTACAGGTGGATTTAAGGTGAGTACAGGTGGATCCAGGTGAGTAAAGACAGACTCTAACTTAGGCGAGTCCTATTAAAACACTGGGGGTATATAGCATAGAAATCCACCTGTTTGTCTGTCTGTCTGTCTGTCTGTCTGTCTATCTGTCTATGTATCTGTCTGTCTGTCTATATATCTATCTGTCTGTCTGTCTGTCTATTTGTCTATCTGTCTGTCTATCTGTCTATCTATCTGTCTGTCTATCTGCCTGTTTGTCTATCTGTCTCTGTCTGTCTATCTGTCTGTCTATCTGTCTGTCTATCTGTCTGTCTGTCTGTCTGTCTGTCTGTCTGTCTGTCTGTCTATCTGTCTGTCTATCTGTCTGTCTATCTGTCTATCTATCTGTCTGTCTGTCTGTCTGTCTGTCTGTCCATGTGATAACTTTAAAACTACTTCACAAACTGAGACAAGACTCGGTGTGTAGTTTAGTCCCTCGAGTATGTAAGCCGGGTTTACTAATCATCTTTCCATCTGTTAATTTACCCGGGTTATGGTCCAGTGTTTAGTACGGTGGTTAAATATCGCTCGTTGGCAACTGTGGACAGGTGAGTTGCTAGTATGTAAATATGGTTAATTATATACAGGTGTTTTAATTAGGGAGTAAAGTCATTATAATTACCATGTTTGTTTGTTTGTTTGTTTGTTGATAGGGTAGGTTTTGTTGTGTGTGTGTGTGTGTGTATGTGTATGTGTGTGTGTATGTGTATGTGTGTGTGTGTGTGTGTGTGTTTGTGTGTGAGCATTTTTAGTTCTATATTTTGTACGTATGTCTATTTATATTTACTATGAAAATTACTATCCATCTATCTAACCTAACCTAACCAAATACTAACCTAACCTAACCTAATCTAACCACACCTGTCTACTCTGCCGGCAGCTATCCAGGTAGACAGAATCGAGCCTTCAACCTCACCTAGAAGATGGACTGTAACGAGCCAGTTGAGAGTCACCGCTCTGGCTGCTGACGACGGTAGACTGTTCTCCTGTCAGGCCGTTCATCCCACGCTGGAGAACGGCCCTACCTCCCTCGTCGCCTCCGTCACCCTCTCTGTGTTGCGTAGGTATTGTGTTGTGGGAGGTGGAGGTGTGTGTGTTGTGTGTGTGTGTGTGTGTGTGTGTGACCATCCTACACTAACCCCTCCTCCTGCGCCTCCTACAGACACACCAGGACCTCCCATCATCACAGGATACGACCCCTCAGAAGTCCTATTAGCTGGAGAAAGAAGAACTCTCTCATGCAAGTCGTCCGGGGGTAATCCACGACCCTGGGTGTTGTGGTACCGCCAGGGACGACTACTAGACGACACCACGACCACCCTACGTGCTGGCGGTGGCGTGGACGACCTGGAGGAGGTACAAGGGGTGGTGAACGACCATGAGTTAGCGGTGACGCCAGGGGAGGACGGGGCCGTGTATGAGTGCCGGGTTACCAGCGATTTACTGGAGTTTCCCCTCACGTCTAATGTTACCCTCACTGTCTACTGTAAGTTTACTGTCATGACCTTAATGATGATAATAACTACTACTACTAATAATAATAACGATGGTGATGTTTACATACGATCAGCTGACTATTGTTGACATACGATCAGCTGACTATTGTTGACATACGATCAGCTGACTAATGTTTACATACGATCAGCTGACTATTGTTGACATACGATCAGCTGACTATTGTTGACATACGATCA